TCCCAGTTTGACCTGAGGTAGCCCGTGGCTACATCTACTGTGTGTTTGCGCATGTCTCAAGCAGCACTTAGACAGGAAATCCATGCCTCAAGTGTTACAGTCATCAGTGGAGAGAGGTGGGAGGACTGAGGGAATCAACACATTGTGTAGGGAGAAGAAGAGGGAGGAAATGTAAGCAGTGTAAAGTCACATAAACACAGGTATGCAATGGTATTTTTGAAAATGTAAAGGATGAAAGAAGAAACAGATGGAGCTGAGAAGAGAGGCATAAAGTATGAAAGAAGCATATCCAGAGGGAGAGACTGAGCAGGAGACAGAGAAAATGCATTAGATCAATAGAGAGAAAAGAGCCTTGGGAGGGGAAGAAAAAAGGTGGGTTAGCTGGGGGGGGCAGAAGGCAGAGAGAGAACAGACACAGTGGAGGCAACGTGGTGCCAGGTTGATTGTGAAGGAACACAAAAGCAACATCATTGTCATAGACTTACCTGTTCTACAATGCTCTCACACACATTCAAACATAGCTGGCTGCCAACACAAGCTTAATTAAGTGCAAATGAATTAGGACCTTGCTGGAGTGAAGAGTTACTGTGTGACACATGATGAAGACTGAAAAGACAGCGATGACAAGGAGGGGTGAAAAAAAGAGGTGTTAAACAGTCAATACACTTCTGATGTGCACAAAGTCAATATGGACCCTTTGGGGAATGAGTGTAACACTTCACCTTAAGCACATCAGCTACTACTACTGCATATTGAAGATCACAGAGATTAAATGGACTAAGAGCAACAGTGTTCCCGGGAATACTGTATATAGCGGCAAGAAAAGGTAATGGCACTGTTTGCATTTTTCTGGTTTTCTGCATAAATTGGTCGGGATGTGTGATCTGATCTTCACCAAAGTCACAAAAATCTACAAAACAAAATTCCTAAGCCGATAAAAGACAGATAGTCATGATCTCTTGTGTCTTTATTGAACAAACCCATTAAACATACAAGATGATGATGGAAAAAGTAATGACAACTCCAGGCTTCTGATGTCACTAATTGTCAACTGGAGTCAGCTGTTAGAAAACCTGGAGTCCAGTCATAAACACTGTTTGAGTGCCATTACAGTGCCATTACTTTTTCTTGCCACTGTATTTATGTCCAGCACTCTCACATCTAATTGTAGTGTAAATGTATTCTAATCTAACCTAATGTGGTAGAACATAGTTTAGGTTTTGGATGAATTTGAACAGATATTTACTTGCCAGACAAATATGTACCTAAAGGAAATTTGCCTAAAGATTTTGTGAGAATGCAAACAGTCTGCAAGGAGTCGGAGTCAGACAGCTCAGATAAGTAGGCATGGAGATTTATTTGTGACAACGATGTTCATGAGATTATAAAAGACAATGAAATATGATGACAACCATTGTTTATAGTTTGAGGTATTACATAGTGTTGTAAACAACATAATCGTGTGTTGAATATGCTTTTGAAGAGCTGATGCTTCACAGTTCTTCCATGCTGATTTTAAGAGGATGTAGTCATAGAATGGAGGGAGTGAGTCGCCCAAGATCTCATACGAGCTCACCGCAGAAACCAGTTTGTTTTGGCTTTCTACTGAAAAAAGACTTTAACACTCTGTGCTGAATTTCACTAACATTATATTGTTCCAGCCTTATCTTTATAATATAATGTGTCACTGTCCTCATCTCTTTTTCTTGTGTTTTTTAAAGTATACCCAATTTATATTGTCTTTTCTTGACACAGACAGTTTTTTACCCTGCCTCATGACGATGCAAACTTGACAATAAATTGCACTGTGTGAGAAATTTGCTGAGGAATTCAATGCTAAACAAGTATGCCTAAGGGTGTCCTTTCATCCTTTTCAAAATCCTATCTATCCTTTTATATATTGGCAATAAAATCTCTCTCAATATTGTGTTGTGTGTCCAGCCACTATAACCCAAATGAGAGATGAGAGGAGTTGATAAAATCTTGATACATTCATCTGAGTCGCCATCAGTTTTCCTGCACTCACTGCAATAAGTCTAATGAACAGCGGCCAGTGCTTTGTAGCAAATGATTTACAGATTTTGGTTTTGCCCTGTGCTCTGCCTCTCAGGCTGCCTTGTTGGTGGAGGTTATTAAGGCTGATTGCAGACAAAAAAGAAGACGGGGCTGAAAAAACAACTTCTACTTTCTAGATTTTTTCAGTTAAATCATCTATTGTTATTTTCAGTTTATATTTTCCTTTAAAAGAATACTAGAACTGAACATCAGTCAGAGAGAGGATGCAAGAAATGAAGGAGAAGAGTTATATAATTAACAATACAGCAGCAATAAAGCAAACGGCCAATTTAATCATAGTTTGAGTACAGGTACAGTATAAATGCATCATATGACATGTATAACATAAGATACACCTGTCAGTGTGTCATTATATGTGGCTGTACCTTATATATATATTTTATTTATCCTTATTATGATGTTATTTGTAATATTTCAGATTTTGAGATATTAGTATTACAACCATATAGATTTGCAAGTATTACCGTCCCAAAAATCTCAACTGTAAGATGGTTGCTTGGATCCATCGTGAAGAGATTTTCATCACGACATAAAATATTCATTTAGTTCCTGACAATGAAACAACTGTGCAACAAACGAAAGTCTGATTAAATTTGAACTTTGAGCATGTCTTTCC